ATTGAGTTTATATGTGTGAAGAAAGTAAAGATATCTTGTGAATGTAACTCTGTGAAAGTGTCATCCACAAATGTCCACCATATTATCTTTGGAGTAGGATTAAATGCATTAAGAGCGATATTCTGCCAAATATCAAAACTAACCGTTTTTCATTATTCCTTATTCGAGTGTCATTTAACTTCTTTTTCGTTTCATATGAGTTGGTTAAGCAAGAGCTTGGACGATTTCTGATGGGATATAATATTATTAGATGGTCGGAATAGAGGTATCTCTAGATCCAAGTACTGGTCTTATAGGATAAACCTTTTGGTGCATCTGAGTGGTACCATCTATCCTACTGGCGTTATTAGATTTGATTCGTTAGTCTTTTTAAATATACTTCTCTTCAGTGGGAAGTTTCACGGAGGACAAGACGCTGTTCAAAAAATGATGGGGAGATTTGGCACTATTTTGGTGCTTTAGGTGTGTGTGAGGGTAATTTAGACGTCGTGGAGAGAATCCCGATATTTTGATTCACCCTTCTAAAATGTCTTCAAGCTGTTTATTTCTAACTGCCCCCTGAAATCCTAACATCACTGTAGAATTATTCACTTTGGAGTAGTAGAATTTGTACATATGAAAGTTAAGTGTGTATGTTTGTCAACCGAAGGTCGTGTTTCAAAAGTAGGTCATAATAAGACCTCCACTGATGAAGTGAAAGTTTTTCTCACTAAATGAAGGTGAGTAAATTTTCGCTTCATCAATGAGGCCGTTATTATGACCATATTGGTACCCTTAAAGTTTGCTTGACTTGCCATTCATACAAATTTATAAATGGTAACTTTTGTCTTCTATACATAGATGACTTTTGTCTAATTTCTCACCAGTTACCTTCAATTCGAAAGAGTCGTGCCTGAAACATTTTGACAGCTCGAGGGTGATAATGATATGGTCACGTTACAAGAAAGCCTTAACAAACTTTCAGATTGGTCTAAAAAATTTATTCTCCCAATCAACATAGAGAAGTGCATAACGATTGCACATTACACAGCCACCTGTCAGATCACACGACATGTAGTGAATAACCCTCCAGTCAGTTCAAACTTTTATGAATCTAGTTGTCTTAGTAAGTCACGATCTAAAGACTGTGGCACAGTATCACCTAGTGGCAGCCAAAAGTTTAACATCATTATAGGTGACACCCAGAGCGGTGACTAGAATCACCAATGATATGTCCGCTTCTGCATAAACATCTCTGGTGAGTTCAAAACTGAAGCACCACACCCAGGTAGCCAGCCCTTGTATTAAAGGGGACTCACGCATTCTAGAGAGGGTTGAAAGGAAGTCAACACGTGCGGATTTGGGTATGATCAATTTATTATACGAGGAAAGACTAGACAGTTTGAATCTCTTCTCTTTAGTATACCACAGGCAGAGAGGAGATCTCACTGCATTGTTTAGAATTCTGAGAGAGAGAGATGATTAAGGACCTGATCTATCTCCACTTTTCCTTCCCACCAGGCTGTAACATCTCACAGGACATAGCAGGAGGGTTCAGAATCAGAGGAAAAAGTATTTCGCTGTGGAATACTGGTTTCTCCTTCAGAGTCATAAACTCTGGGATATGACCACTCGCAGTGGTGTCAGTGCTACCAGTTGACTTGTTCAACTGTGCTCGTCCAGACAAGCACAGAAAATTATGCCCTTAATCTTCAGTCAAATAATCTGAAATCTATGAAGTAATATTACTAAAATTTACACTTCCATTCAATGATATTATCGATGGCATCATTTTTTTCTTCATTTTCCGATCTCGTAGATTACTGGTTTTAAGGGATCAGTGTTGAGTGCTGGTGATAACTGAGTTCACTCTGATTCTACACTAGACAGTGTTGATTGTCATGCATACAGTCCACTATTTGGTGCAGACTGAATCCTGGAAAGCCTCCTAAGGTGTGTTCCAAGGTAATTCTACCTCACCTAACATTGCTCATCGAGGAATTAATTAGCTGTATCGATTGACACAGGTAGCGAGACACAAGTAGCATGCATGAGAAGCCATCGACTTTCTCGTCGACCAATGTTAGCGCTCAGATGAAATTAGAGTGGAAGAGAGTTAGGGATGGTCAAATCAGAACTTGGTATCTATCCAAGAAGCCTCTGACTGTTGATTTGAATCATGTCAGATGGTTTAGACTGCTTGGCTGGCTAGTGTCCACAAAACGCTGTTTCAGAGTTAAATATGACTTGCTCCAAATTACAAGGAATCAATGTGTCAGTCGATGCAGCCTAATAATTGCTCGATGAGCAATGTTGGGTGAAGTAGAATTACCTTGGAGGCTTCTGTGAATTCAGTCTGCACTAAGCCAATGACTAGACAGATGCATGACAACGGTCACTACCTAGCGACCAAGTGAAGTATGCATTACAGTCCTACAAGAAGTCAGTCGGTAGCCTGAATAGCTCACCGGTAACGTCCCTGACTTCACCATTGGGTGACATCAGTTCCAATCTCAGGAGACATGACTTACTCCAAGATTGCAGATACGTCTCAATGACTGGTGAGTGGCAACAAACACGAAACCTAGGTCTAGGCAGGGCTTTCTGCTGATTACCTCCAACCAACTAATAGCGATAACTTTGTTTGTCAAGAATAATCTCCAAAACAGAATCGCCTTCTTAAATGTTCTTCACACAGGAAAATCAGATGATAGTATAAGCAGAAATTTGCATAAAGAAAGTAAAGGACAAGAAAATGTTCACATTTCAGTAGCTTTCTTCCTATCCAGTACAAAATAAATTTGATAAGGACCCTTACAGCTACATGTTCACAAGATGTAACTTAAGATGGACTTAAAATTGTCTATGACACTTCAATTGAAAATAACTATCTAGTAAAGTTCAATATGAAACACAGCCACAAAAGTTGTAAATAACTGTCCTATATCGGTAAACAAGAAGCCTGTATATATTCGATTGAAATTCATGTGTGATGTACCAGGTGAAATAATAACCAAAAAGTTAAGAAAATCGATTTAAAATAACTTTTAATGCTGATTAGTTTCAGGTCGTGTTTTCCACACGACTAGTTGTAACTCATCAACTGGAAGACGAAGTACCTAGGCTAGCTACCTATTCATGTATTCTTCAATTCAACTGCTCCTTCGAGCCAGATATATTGGCCGTTGCACTGGAAACTGGGGTCTTCGTGCTCGGGACCATATGTGTAGTGGAATCGATAGACAGTTCACCAGTACTAAATCACCTGGTCCAGACAGGCCATAAGTCTTCCACTCTTGTGTTTGTATCGCGTACCAAATTAATTATCAGAAGCCTCTAGATACCGAATACTCCAAGCAACAGAGGCTATTGCAATTCGTCCACAACAACTGAAGTGCTTTGTACAAAAGACACACGTCTACTCTGGCTTGCTGTGAAATTCATGAATACAGTATTGATGTAAATTCTCTTAATAGGTAGATCTTTTATCCGCCCTACTAATGTCCCTTTTAGCTTCAATGTAACAAATATCATAACCAGTGACTTTCATAGTTTTAATACTTCTGATGTTCATAAATGTCTAAAATCTCTTCAACCTTCCCAGAGTCTAGGCCCTGATGGTATACCTGCCATTGTCCTAAGGAAATGTGCTGATATTTTAAGTAACCCACTTACAAACTTTTTCAATACTTCTTTTTCTAATAATGTTGTACCTTCCCTGTGGAAAGATATTAAAATCATCCCTGTACCCAAGTCAGGTTCTGGAAAGTGCTTAGTTTACACCTATTGCTATTACCTCTCCTTTTTCGAAACTAATGGAGAAATTATTGTTACTAAAACTTGTTCCCTCCCTAGGCTTCTCAAATGATCCAAAGCAGTTTGCTTACGAACAGGCTAGAAGTACTTTAGACGCTGCTGCTGTGTTTCATCACAACATGGTATCCTCTTTAGACAAAGGGGCCAAGTATGTCCGTTCCTTGATTATACATCTGCTCTCGACTCTGTACCTAGAGGCCTTTTGTTAAACAAGCTTAGCCTTACCCAAACTGAGTCCTGGGCTATCAACTGGCTGCACTCTTATTTCTCTAATAGGATGCAGTACACGGTATATAATGGTGTATCTTCCTCTCCTTTGCTCATTGAAGCTGGAGTTCCTCGGGATGCTGTTCTCTCTCCATTTCCCTTTTCCTTCTTCTTACATGACTTACCTCCTTTAGACGAAATCAACTTCGTCAAATATGCAGATGACCTGGCTGTTTCGCTTCCCGTTAAGTCTCAGTCAAACCGTTTCAAATTAAATAGCTTCCTGTCGGACATCAGTCAGTGGTCTAAACTAAATGGCCTCATATTGAATCCCTCAAAGTGCCAGACTATTGACTTCTCCCTTAGGCATAAACGAGATCTACAAACACTAGTAAGTACTCATGAAGCCTGTAGCATTGAGGGGACTAAAATTGAAAGTAAGTCTAATGCAAAATACCTCGGTCTAGTTCTATCTTCCGACCTTACTTGGACATCTCATATCCTAACGATTTCTAAGAAAGTCTTCCGTCTAACCTACTACATTAAGAAACTTAGACTATCTGGAATCACCCAACCTCTACTTTCACAATTTGTCAACTCTCGTATCTTACCTATTCTACTTTACTGTGCTCCCCATTAGTCTTTCCTGGGCTACTGACAAAGGACTATACCATCCTGAGAAGGATGTTGAAGGTAGTTAGTAGGACTAGTGGTGTAAAACTCAGTCAGCTCGTCACTACATTAGTTGAAAGGCATCTGAATACATGCAGAAAATGGTCTAAAACCATACTCTCCGACCCCCAACACCCCCTCTATTCCCAACTCTCTCCTTGTATCTCATCAGGTAGGACCAGAAATCAGTACAAAATAATATATGCTCGTACAACCAAGTACAGGAACTCAGTGATACCATATCTGGCCCGTGTTCTAAGTGACAGAGACAATGTTAAGCGCGAAACCTATGACTTGCTTTGTTGTTAATAACAGTATTCATACAGTATTGATGTAAATTCTCTTAATAGATAGATCTTTTATCCGCCCTACTAATGTCCCTTTTAGCTTCAATGTAACAAATATCATAACCAGTGACTTTCATAGTTTTAATACTTCTGATGTTCATAAATGTCTAAAATCTCTTCAACCTTCCCAGAGTCTAGGCCCTGATGGTATACCTGCCATTGTCCTAAGGAAATGTGCTGATATTTTAAGTAACCCAATTACGGTTGAAAAAGCTCGGGAATGATGCTATCGTCCATCCGCATCCCTTCGCCACTGCTCTGGAATGCTAAATATCGGTGATCATAGGTGCATTATTTTAAAAGGAAACCGAATCGAAATAAAATAAATGCCAATTATGCCCATCCGAGTTAGAAAGACGAAAATAACAACAAGTATACAACTGAAGAAAATTTCACACGAGAACTCATTCACATAGTATTTCACGCTTGGTCATAATATTTTTTACATACAATTCTCTCTTTTGTTCACTTGATTGGTGGTTATCGCATTTGTTTACATTGAAAAACCCGGAACAGGGAGAGGAGAAACACAAAAATCAGTAGGCATGTAACAAGAAATGAAAACTTGTTTCTCGTGATTTCAGAGTTCACTGTCATTTAACTTTTAATAAAATAATAATGCTAAATTATTTGCTTCTGATAAAAATCCTATTTACATCTTGCTCTTTCCAGGTTTCGTGTGTATGTACGCGTGTATGTTTGTGTGGAGGGGTTTTCAGCCATATTTCAAATACGGCGCGACAAAAAATTTACAATTTATGGTTGCACAGATAAAAACAAAACGCTGTGCATAAGACTAGACAAGAATTCGGTGTGTCACGGTGTACGAGATTATGTAGGCTTCACGTTGTTCAAGATATGTCCACAGACGTGGATCGGCAAGCGGGAGAGTCAGTCGTTTTAAGCCGCAGTTGATTCTGTTGCTTCTTCAACAAAAAGTTCACCCAATTTCTCCCTGTTCACAAAAAAAGACGGAGCATGAAGATAAGAATCAGTAATGTGAATTTGTCATATTAAAGAAGCGAGGAAAAGTTTCTCTTCGACGAAGTCACCAACCAGGCTGTACAGGAAGAGTGGACACGAGAGGTAATAGGATAATCATTATTGGTAGGAATGACGACCAAGCTAAACTTGAAGCACCACTAACTACCAATGGAGTGCAACCGCACCACTGACCTTGAATGGTCAAATGAGGGTTATCCAAGTAAGCTGAAGCTTCTATTCCTCTTGATTACAGTCAAATGCCTGCTCTAACGCATTTACGTTGGAAATTTGGTGAAGACCGATCTAGCAGCATGGCTTAGATATGAGGACAGACACACCACCATGTGGAGGTGTGATGACCATGAAAAGCTTCAGCTGATAGGTTGGTGGACTTGTGCATCGTTGTGTAATTTGTCTGAGACGAGTCAGTGTGAGGGAAGGTAAGCTGATGATCCTAATGTTACGTAGGAACATCTCTTGCCAGATCCCATTTTTTTAATATTTTTAAAAAATTTTTGATTACAGCTTGATTCCACACCATATTTTTTGGTACAAATATGGAATTTTCAGCATGTGATATCGACATCCCAAATTTTGCAGGCCAACCACAGATATCAGCTGCACATATTTTGTATATTTGTATTTCCTGGGTTTTAAAACTGCCTGTGAGAGGTGTAGCTGCTGAAACTGAAAATAGTCCCGTATCAAAAGTTCCAGTGTTACCAGCACTGCAGGGTTATCACATCCTGGAAAGTGGAGAGGCTCACTTCCTTATTGGGAAGAGAAAGTGTCGTCGTACATGTAGATGAAACTGTCTTAGTAAAGAAAAAATACAACCGTGATCGAGAACGAGCGAATAATGTTTGGGTGACTGGTTTATATGATACCTCTCTACAGAAAGGATTCGTCGACAGGATAACAGATAGAACGGCGAGTACTTTAATATCTGTTTCTACTCGACTGGTCAAACAGGAATCTATACTACACACAAATGAGTGGAAATGTTATAACTCACTGTCATCCCTTGGATACATTCACCACAGAGTCAACCATTCTAATTGTTTAGTGGACATAGGAGAGTGAGTGAATCTATGGCATTTCAGAACAATTTTGAACCATATCTCACCAACAATCTCAAGCCAGTGGGTTTTAGCATCGCCAACTAGCACAGTCTACACCAGCCTGCATGATTCGAACTAAGTGTCATTCGATTTCATGAATCGATGACAGATTTTCGTGTAACTAACCCGACTGTAGCTGTCTTCCAACTTAATCTCATGTGGAGCTAACACTGTCCATCGAGGAAGGGGCGATAGCTTTGGCATGCGTAACACGCACACTAGCCAATTAACGGCTTTTCTTTAGCTGTTCTAACAGCCTAAAAGCGAAATATGTTATTATAACTGAGTGTAAATATATAACATAGTACAAAGACTATATCACGTCAAAGGGCATAGTAGTGGAATGACAGATATAATGAATATAAGACAATTCATAATCTAACAACCATAGTTTATTTACACATAATATGATGTAACGTTTAAGAGCAAGGAGGGGAAGTGAAGTAAAATGGCTTCTGCGAAGCGAAGTAGTCAGGGTTTCTCTGTATATTGGTGTCAGGTTGTAAATTTTACGTTCAGATGCAGGCGCGACTTATATGAACTCGTTAGTTCGCATAGTTTCACTAGCATAGATGGTACAAAATTTGAAACCAAGTTGAATATTGAACACCTTGAATTGAGTATTTCCTCTGGCCTTTACTGGTTTTACCGCATCATGTTAGTTTCCAGAAGGATATTTCGTTAAAAGTTCTACGTAAGGAAGTCAAGACGATCTCGTAACACTCAGTCAGTGTCTACTTTCTAAGTTTATTAATTCTTGTATTATGCCTATCCTTTTTTATTGCTCCCTCTTAATCTTTCATGGGCTACTTAAGAAAGACTTTGCTTGTTATACTGCGAAAGGCACTAAAAGCCGTTAGTAGGACGACTGGGTGTTGCTTAACTAACTGGTTAAGACTGTTATAGATAAGTACATGGACTTATGTCAGACTCTGAGCATCCTCCTCTCTACACACAACTCTCTCTCTCTTAGCATCTATCTCATCGGGTAGAAGTAGAAGCAATTATAGAAGACTATGTGCTTGGACGAATAAGTACAAAAACTCTACAATACCTCATTTGTCAGGGACACATTTTATGTAGTGAGGAAAGTGTAAGACAGGAAATTACTAAATTAGTGCGGAACTCTAAGTAAACAGCCCTATTTTTTTCGTTATTACATTTCTGTTAATATTTTCACTCAATTTAATTTTATATTCACATGCGTATTGAACGATATTTTCAATGGCGTAAATGACCTAATTAATTATTACCTCTGTGATGAGAACGTTACTTGCAATACTCTAATGCATACTGAAAATTCCATTTTCTGTACTATAAAATAATGATGATTCATGTTTGGTACTGAACAGTTCGTCTGGTAACAAGGCACTGACGTACGTTGTTATTGTTACTATTTTCTCAGGTTCTGAGGGCAACAAAAAAAGGCGTCCGGAAAAACATTTCCATTTCATCCACTATTCTCTACAGTCTACTACCGCTGGCTTTGCGATGACATCAGGCACCTGACCACCACTCAAGTGGAACTAGAATAGGAAACAATGAGTAGGGTGTGAGTCAGAGGGTGATATGGGAGAGACCCTATGAGGAGGAGATCAGAGACTTTAGGCGACAAGCACCAATCACTATGAACGGGAGGAATTTGAAAGGAGGTCACTTTCTTCACTCATCTACTCAGTAGCGTTCCAACTACAGTCAGGAGGCACACATCCCGGTGTCAAAGTCAGCTAGGATCGAAAAAGTAGGTCAAATTTCCATCACTCGGAAATGAATATGGAAATCTTCTCCACTGCCGCCTCAGTATAAACAACAATAACAACAATGTTTTTTTCTTCCTCATCATTGCTCGAATAGCACGCGAATGGGAAAGAATGATCGGGGCGTCCGAGAGTGACATATAGGAGACAGCGATTGGAAGAGATGAGAAACTTTAGGCAATCGCGGGGCCAGCTACAGAGTACCGCAGGAAGTAGGACGAAGTAGAGATGTGCCATTGAAGCCCCATGTTCCACCCATAACCCGATGAAACAATAATAATGTAATGTATATATATATATATATATATATATATATATATATATAAATTATTACCGCTCGTCATTTGAATCTTCACAAAAATTCCCCAAATAATCACTCGGTACATCGGTGAACTGAACACTTGGTGCATGTACAAGCTGTTTCAGATTGTCGTGAACTGTTACGCGTAGCGCTTCGATATACTACAGGGAAAAGGGAGAAAGAAAACGTATTAGTTATAATTAAAAAGAACACTATGGTTTTTTATGGTATGAGTGGAAAATAATTTGCTCAATCGGCACAGGATCAAGTATTAAGAATGAATGCTGAGAATGGGAAGGGACGTAAGCGCCTACAAACAAAAAATATCCTATTCAGTGACTAATTTCGATTGAATCAATCTCTTTTCAGTCTGTCATTATGTTGTATCGATAATCTTTAAATTGAAGGTTGTTGAATTATCAAGCATCAGTGATCACTCTACTATATATCTTGGTTGATTACGTCAGCCTTGAACGCCTACAGACAATAGTGAATCTAGTGCTAATATCGTTTCACGCAATAATACTCCTAATACTATGTGGTATTACAGACAGTGTGGCCTCTATCGCAGATATTCTAAAACTACTCTCTGACATATAACTCAAACAGTAGACACTCTGATGTTTCCAAGGGCAACATAGAGCTTTAACAGTCCTTCGTCATTTTGCATTATTTTCTGCAGTATTCTCTCGCTGACCCCGCGTTGGCCAAAAGTCTCTCATCTCTTCCAATCACTGTCTCCTACATGTCACTCTCGAACGCCCCAATCATTCTTTCCCATTCGTGTACTATTCGAGCAATGATGAGGAAGGAAAGAGATGTCACTCAACGGTGCCGTCAGCGCGTGTCCGATCGATCTATCTCCATTTCCTACGCAATGTCTGTTGAACACTATGATCTTGATTGATTCATTTCCAGAGTTAGTCGTTGCTAATTCTTTCCACTGGCCATCCGACCCTCAATATGGAGTCTGGCAGCGAAGTGGACAGCTGTTGGAAATGCTTCTCGTGACGCACACGCCAAGTTTCCCACCCGTACAGAAGCACAAACTAAATCGACATTGGTATTGTAAACCCGAACTTTGTTGTTGTTGTTGTTTATACTGAGGCGGGAGTGGAAAAGATTTCCATATTCATTTCCGAGTGATGGAAATTTGACCTACTTTTTCGATCCTAGCTGACTTTGACACCGGGATGTGTGCCTCCTGACTGTAGTTGGAACGCTACTGAGTAGATGAGTGAAGAAAGTGACCTCCTTTCAAATTCCTCCCGTTCATAGTGATTGGTGGTGGTTAGTTATCTTCTTCGCCTGCGTCTCCTCAATGTTCACTTGAAATCCTGTTTCTGCTAGCTGCTTCTTCTGCCAGTTTGTTGGTTTCCATCTGCCTGTAAGTCTTCGAGTTTGTGTGACATAACACATAAATCATTCCCACAAGCGACTCTAGATCTTCTAGAGTCTTCTTGTCATCTCAGCGCGTTCCTGTCTCCTCGCTCCCTGTGCACAGTCCCAGCGTAATCCACTCCACCACAATTAGGGATGTCATCGTGGATGATGGAGGACAGTGACCTCGTCTTATTCCTGTCTTCATTTCAAAAGCCTCACTGAGTTCCTCACTGTGGATCACCTGACACGTGCCATCGTCATATAGCCAGCTGTTGCTTGAGGTTGATAAAGGTTTTCGGCACTGCACAACCATAGTGTTGAAGTAGTTTCCAAATTACTTCGCTGTCAATACTGTCGAAGGTGTTTTCAAATTCGATTAAATTAAGGTAGATATTCGACTGCCATTCTATGTTTTGTTTGATGATCACGCGTAGAGTGGCGATTTGATCAGCGTTTACGCATATGTAGTTCATATTAAAAATCTTCAAGAAATTACCACCATTGAAATATAATCAATTTTATTTCGGTTGATGGTGTCTTGTAGTGGAAACCGGGATGTACATTTTGTTGTCCTGTTTTCTGGACTTCTAGCCTAGATGTACCTACCCTACATCCCAAGTGAGTGAGTGAGCGAGCGATGGTGTTTCTAATGAGACTAGTAACCTGTGAACATCATTTCAAACGAAACGCTACAGCTCCAACAATTATAACTTTCAAGGTTGATCACAGACTGACTTCAGTTACAAAGCATTTAAAGTTAGCAGGAAGTAGTGGACAGTTGTCCCACCTTCGCTGGCGACTCTTTATCAGTATGCCCCCACCACCGATTCAGAAGACAAGCTTGTTAGCCATTCAGCCACCGTGATGAAATCCAGTAGCCTGTTAATTCGATCCTCAGCGGAATGGCCATAGCGATATGGCGCGACCATCAACTAGTTAGTCACTGGTGAGTGTCTATTCTCACACCGGTTGATGCACGTGCGTGGTTACGACTACTGAATCGCCAGTAGAATCTCATTCGCATGACTGACTGGCTACAGAATGAAGCTTCCACGTAAATTGCAGATCCCTAGGGGTGGGGAGTTCGACCCCTGGCTTTGGGATGCATACTGACGAGGAGCCCAAATAAACATGAAACAGCTATAAACTTCTTCCCTGTTCATTTTTTAATAGTTCTCAAAAGGAAGTCAGTTCGAGGTCAAATCAATCCAGTCCCTGCAAACTGACACCACTTTTAAAAGTTCTTACATCATTCACAGACAAACTCACGCACACACACACACACACATACAGAGAGAGCTCAATTCTACGCATAATTCTCTTCCTACCTGTCGTGTATTAGCATTGTCAAGTTTAGTTGTCAAATCTGGGTGTAGAGTATAATCAGGATAAAAGAATTCAATATACGGTGAATAGGGTAATTCATTAGAGATTTCCTCTTCTTGATCCAAAAGGACAGCTGTTTCATACGCCCAACAACGGGCTACATTACGTACAGTATAACCGCCACCACCGAGCACTAATAATGGTAAACCAAGTTCTTTTACCATACGAACACATCGTCTACAAAGCAGACAAAAAAGAAAAGAAATGTAAGTGTAGAACTTGGGCACTGTGGTGAAAAAATGTAATTCCAAGTCCAACAGGTTAACTTCAAATATCATACAGTGATGACACAGCATTATCAAGTGGATGATGACAAGGTTTCGAGCAGGAATTATTGTTGCTCATAATCATATCCATTTAGTCATACGGCTTCACAGTTTGTCTTACCGATTTTCTCTCTCTCTCTCTTTCTGTCTCTCTCCATCTTCCCCTTGGTGTCTGTTGCCACTGTTTATATCTCCGGTATAGGCGTTATCTAAATATTTAGCATCAACACTATGCCCTATTAGAGACGAGCTGTCTGTTACAACGTTCAATCCTGCTCCATGGTTAAAGTGAGCCTTGAGGGTGAAACATTCCATCACTGTGTTTAAATCTGAACATATCCCCTTCAGTTTCTCACACACACAATGAATGGCTGACAGAATTCAATTCACTCTCGAGTTAGAAAGCGAGTGATTTGACCATGCTAATTATTATTGTTCCCTTGGGTTCCCAGTGGAACATAGGGCTTCAACTGCACGTCTCCACTTGCTTCTGTCTTCTGCTGTTCTTTTCACTTACGTCCATGTTATTCCATACTGTTTCATCTCCTCCTCACACGATCTCCTCCATGTCACCCTTGGACGTCCCACTCGCCGCTTCCCTTTCGGGTTCCACTCGAGGGCTTGACGCGCGATGTCACTCAACGGCCTCCTCAGCGAGTGTCCAATCCATCTCCACTTCCTCCTGCATATTTGTTGGGCGATTGGTTCCTGTTTCGTTTGTTCCCATAGCTTCTTGTTTGTGATTCTTTCTGGCCATCTAATCTTCAGTATGGATCGAAGACAGTTGTTGATAAAGGTCTGCAACCTGTTGAAAATATTCTTGGTGACCCGCCAAGTTTCTGATCCGTAAAGCAAAATTGACTTGACGTTTGTATTGAAAATCCGAATTTTGTTGTTGATACTGAGTGACGAAGATTTCCAGATTGGTTTCAGGTTGATGAATGTGTTTCTCGCCTTCCCGATTCTCGATTTGACATCCTCGTCCGTTCCTCCTGTGGTTGAGACAATGCTCCCCAGATAAGTGAAAGAAGTAACCTCTTTCAAATCCCTCCCGTTGATGGTGATTGGCACTGGATGTTGCTGCTGTTGTTGGTTGGTTATTTTCATAACCTCCGTCTTGTCTATGTTCACCTGGAGTCCTGTCTTTGCTGCTTCTTCGACCAGTTTGTCGGTTTTTGCTTGTAAGTCTTCGATTTTGTGTGACATCAAACATAAATCATCCGCAAAATCCAGGTCTTCTAGGTTCTTCACGTCGGTCCAGGATATCCCTGTCTTCTCGTTTCCCACTGTCTGACGCATAATCCAGTCCACCACAATTAGGAATATCATTGGTGATAATAAGCACCCTTGTCTAACTCCTGTGTTTACTCCAAACGCTTCGCTGAGTTTTCCGTTGTGGATCACTTGACATGTGCCGTTGTCGTACAGTTGTTGAATAAGGTTGATGAATATTTGCGGTACGCCGTAGTACTCGAGTAGTTTCCAAATTACTTCGCGGTCAACGCTGTCGAAGGCCTTCTCAAAGTCTATGAAGTTGAGGTAGAGATTTGATTGCCATTCCATGCTTTGTTCGATGATAATGCGTAGAGTTGCAATTTGGTCAGAACATGATTTGCCTTTCCTGAGTCCAGCTTGTTCTGGGTTAGCGGCGTTTTGTATCCAGTGCGTCCTTTATTCTCTCCAGGATGATGCGACTCAGAATTCTACTTGGCGTCAACAGGAGCATGATTCCTCGCCAGTTCTTGCAGAGTCCCAGGTCGCCCTTCTTTGGTAGTTTCACCAGGTAACCTTTCCTCCAGTCAGTAGGCACCTTTCCCTCTTTCCAGATCTTTTGCAATAATGGGGTCAGCATATCTGCCGTCGTTTCTGGGTCCGCTTTCAGTGCTTCCGGGGGTATTCCATCTGGTCCGGATGCTTTTCCAGCTTTCAGAAGCTTGATTGCATTCATGACTTCAGTTTTCGTTGGAGGATTGGTGTCAACTTGCAGTTGTGTACGTGCTGTTGTTGGTATTACTGGACGGGTTGTAGGTGGTGGTCGGTTCAAGAGTCCTTTGAAGTGGTCCGCCCATTGTTTAATCTGTCTTTTTTCTTTGGTAATTGGGTTCCCTTGGTTGTCTTTTATAGGTTTCACTTGTGTTGATCTCTTCCCGGATAGAGACTTGGTTGTCTGATATAGTGTCCTCAGGTCCCTTTTGCCTGCTGCCTTCTCAGCTTCAGTAGCCAGGTTGTCGTGGAATTGTCTTTTGTCCTTCCTGGCACTCTTCTTCACTTCTTTGTCCAGTGCTGTGTAAGTTGAGTTCAGCGTCTCTTTCTCTTGTCCATCTTTGCATTGAATCATTTTCTCTTTCACTTTTCTCCTCTCCTCTATTAGTTTCCAAGTGTCTGTTGAGAGCCATTCCTTGTCTTGTTTCTTCTTTCTTCCTAAAACCGTTGAGCACGTTTCGTTGAAAATTACCTTCAGAGAGTTCCAATGGTCTTCCACGGATGATTCCTCAGTGGTGCCACGTAGTTTTTCCTGCTTTGCTCTGACAGTTGCAGTGAAAATGTCCTGTGTGATTGTGTCCTTCAGTTTTTGCGTGTTGAACTTGCATTGTGGCCTATCCCCAGGTATCCTCGAGGCTTTCAGCTTCACCTTGAAAGTCCCTTGTACTAGATAGTGGTCTGAACCCACATCTGCTCCTCTCCTCGATCTTGTGTCCAGTAGGCTCCGTCTCCACTTCCTTGAGATTGAAATGAAGTCTATCTGGTTTTTGGTGTGTCCATCTGGTGAAATCCATGTCGCCTTGTGTATATCCCTGTGTTTGAACACACTGCCACCAATCACCAAATCATTGAAGGCGCAGAAGTCTGAGAAGAGTTCACCATTTTCGTTCATTTCACCGAGGGCCTCACGACCCATGGTGAGTTCTCTTCCTGTATTGTCTCCTCCCAGTTTCGCATTCATGTCGCCCATCAGGATTTTGATATCGCTCTTTGGGACGTTGTCCATCACTGTTTGTAGTTGACTGTAGAAATCCTCCTTCTTCTCATGTTCTGAGGCGTTTGTAGGCGCGTAGTACTGAATGATTGTAACCTTCTTTCCTTTTGAGTTGAACCTGGCTGTCATTATCCTGGAGGAGATTGGTTCCCACTGCATGAGAGCTTTAGCCGCTGTCGGTGACATCATGATGGCTACTCCCTCGGTGTGCTCGTGATTGTCCTCTGGGTGACCGGAGTAGATTATTGTCTCTCCAGTTGATAGTTGGCTCCTTCCACATCCGTTCCATCTGCTCTCGCAGATTCCCAACACTTCTATTCTATATCTCCTCATTTCTGCGGCTACCTGAGCAGCCTTCCCAGCTTCGTACATTGTACGAACATTCCACGTCCCCATCCTTATTTTCGCTTTCATCGAAAGAAGGCACATCGGCTGACTGGCTTCCCGAAGGCTTTCACCAGCCCGCGTCATTTCACTTCCCCGATTCCAGCGAAAAATAAGGTCACTATTTGTAATTTTAGAATTTTGAATATATTTGTGCGTTGAAGTTTTAGTAGCAATTTGGTTAAGTTTTGGGGGTGGAGTTGCTAGCACCACGCCCCAACCCTCCCTCTTTATCCAGGCTTGGGACCGGCTAGAATACTAGTGACCTAGTAATCTAGGCGAGGTTTGACCATGCTAAACTGACTGTAAAATAAAACAAAACCAAGATGGTAGGTTTTATGTTAGCCTTTGTAGGGAGGCGGATACACTCTAATAAATACTTAGACTTCAAATCATCTCATCCAGAATCGGTAAACGAATAGAAGTTCAGCTAAGTGTCTATATCAGAGCGGCCAACAGCCCAATTAATAAGACAGAAAGAAGATTTAAATTTTGAAGTCAAAGAAATAAGGCAAATATCACTAGTGGATAACACACTACCCACCAGAATTTATTCAGAAGTGGATGAAGACCCCTAGGGAAAGCCTACGTAGTACTTCCGTATAAAGAAGCAACGACGTCAGAGTCTTTGTCTAGGATCCCCAATGAGGCTGGAATTCGTCAGAGTGGCATTTAAACCAATCAACCAAGCAACCAACCAACACTCTCAGTGATAAATTCTGTTAGCTCAAGGACCTGTTAGATGTAATTAATAAAAATAATATAATTTACCAAATATCATGCAATTAACGACTGTGAGGTCAATTACACGTACTTAAAACTAGTAGATTGGGGTGAACTAGATTATTGGGACAGAGGAATTTAGCTAGACCTAGAATTACTGACCCTGGTAAGTTAAGTTAGATAACCTAGAAAACACAAAGGTCAGCCATTGCATTTCATTCACTTGCCTATGATCACACAATAGGTTGTATGGGACAGGGTGAGAGTATTCAAGAGTAATATAGTTAGGTGAAGTGAGAGAGAGAGAGAGAGAGGCTAACCACTGAATCGTTGGTTATCGATTCAACATCACACACGTGCAATCAAAATGACCCAACGCCTATATCGGATATATGCAAAGTGGCAGGTAACAACAAAGGGAAGTTGGCGAGACAGAAAGAGAGAAAATATACACAAGACAAACTGTGAGAACGTGTGACTAAATTGAAATGATAATAGTAAGAATAATAATCTACTTTATTCCAAAATCAGTACTGATAATACAGAATGGAATCCTCAGCATTTCTCACAATATTGCATTTGATTCACTCAAAATAGAAATAAAATTAACCAGAGGAATTTGTCCACAACTACGGTATAAAGTCAAAAATATTCAAAGTACAAAATGAGAATAATAATAATAATGATAATAACAGTGGGTTTGTTTCAAACAGTATTGTCGATTCAGTTCGGAAATTTCAGCATGTTATGGATTAGTGAATCTAATGTTCTGTTGATATGGCAGGGTGAGGGGAAAGGCGAAAAATAACAGGTATCACACAGTTTAAATGGCGGTTACACTTATGGGAAAATAAACAAACAGACGAAAAATGGAGAGGAGCATAAATATAAGAAGAACAATAACAAGATGATTATGAGCAGCAATAATTTCTGCTCGAAACAATTTCATCCATTTGTTAATACTGCGTCATCACTGTGTATTACTTGAAATAAACTTATCTAATCTAAAACAGCAAAACGTAAAATCAGCGATCCGAAGGAACTGATCCAAAGTACTAATAAACAACGTTTGGATATTTATAATGCATTCAAAATATGCACACTCAGGATTTTAGAATTTCAAACAATTGACACAGCGACTATCCCGTAGCGGTAAACCTGTCCAAGTTAAGACGTTTTTATCTGAGTATTAGAATAGTCTTAGTAGGGTAGGGTTATCTGTAGGAGAGGGAGCAATTGTGTTATGTTGGCTCTGAGTGCAGGTCACTACCGCTTGAGACCAGCCAAACAAAGACTGTTTCAAACCAGCTCTTTAGAGTTGCGACCGTATGACGATCTTACCGCCTGTTACGCACCGCCGTGGGGGAAGTATGGATGTACAATTTTGGGGGTTGACCGTTTCTAACCACCTCCATTACCACGTCCCCAAAGTGGAAAGGCAGTACAGTTGCGCTTAGCTGGTTATCTGAGAGAAACACTCTAGTAGCTGCAATATCTGTATTCATCAGCAGTACGAATACCCATACTCCACTGACACTTCCACCATCACGTTAACCACTTTTATTCTCACTGCTTTCATCAAAACGACATTTCTCGCATGGTATGACCTGCAGGAAAATTGGTGTCAGCCAGTGTAGGTTGTCGTCGAGTCGTTGCAACCACTACAACTATATACAACAGGAGAGAACCTAGAAAATCAAAAATCATTCCTTTTTTCATTCCTTCCGAGTGTAACACAGCGCTTCAAACTCTTGAAGTTTGAGTAGCAGTGTTGTTTTAACCCAATGAGTTTTCTAGCATCGCATCCAGGCACCTACCTGACATCCTTACCAGACTGACTCACTATCGACCAGTTAACACAGTCACGGTTTACAAATGTGAATCAAGCAAGATCAACAGCGGTTTGTGCAGAATAAGATGATGGTACCATCTCAACGGCTGTATACTAAAGCCTACAGAAATGAATTCAGTTTATGTACAGAACGGCTTTAACATACACGTAAATTTTCACATGATATCAGTTGACAGGGTGTTCTAAACTTAGTAAACAGCGCTCAGAAAATGACAGTTATGCGATTTTTATCCAAAGAGTTCAAGTTTGAACAAAATCCAATGGATGCATACAATTCCAAAGGAGTTATTTAATAAGGACAAGTGATGAGCAACATGATGAGTAACTAATAAATTGAGGAACAACATAGTGAGTTCAACTCAAGTCATCAAAACAAGAGACAAGCCAGGTTGCGCTATTTCGAAACAGGGGAACGGACAAATTAAGGCCAAAGACTAGGTAATCAAATGAAAGAGAGAATAAAGACATCCAGTTACCAGGACAAGGAAAAACGGATGATAACTGCTGAACATATAAATCGGCTGTCAGATATTTGATAGAGATTGCTTGTAAGTTGTTGTTGTTGTAAGTATTTGTTCCCTTGAGACGTAGGCTTTTTGGTATATGTTCAGAAAATCGGAGGTATGCTCTTCTTGCTGTTCCCGCAATATAACTGCTGTAGCAGGTACATGCAAATTTGTGTTCACAATTAGAGTTAACATGAGAAGGGTATCTGTCGACTTATGATTGCACTGAAGACCATGATGCTCGATTAATGAGAACCAAGCTAGTTGCAGGATAGGTTCTTGATAGCGGGGCATGCAATCTTCTGTTGACTATTCCTGCAATACGGACACCTTTAAAATCGAGTTGAATGATGAGAAGCCTTTTTCGCACTGTGATTTGCTCGACACTTTAGCCTTCACATCTTCCCTACTTGTTGATGGATATCTCCGAAGGAAGGTAACCGTTGTTTTTCAACGTCTTTGAGAGAATCACAAACGCCAATGAACTAAACAATGATGGCACCATCATCTTATTCAGCACAAACCGCTGTTGATCTTGCTTTATTGAAATTCATAAAGGGGAGTAAATGTATGCAGTTTGGGAATGTGTCGGGCACGAATTCAACCTGGATGACATACATTATTGACTAACATTCCGATTTTATTGTGAACAGGATCAGAGCAGGAATAGAAAGGGACATGGGACAATGCATCCCTGATACTGAATGTTGACACTATTTCAATTCACCTTGATGTTCAAGTGTTGAATTGCAGACCAATACTTGAATATTAATCTGATGCTCACTAGCGACTGACCCTGTTCAGCTAGGCAATTACCCGGGTTCTAGTGTGTATTCGTGACTAGCGCGGTACAGCATGTCAGATGTGAGGACAAACGCTCGTCACCGACGACACTGGCTAGTGCCAGTCACACAATATGTTGTGCATGAATTGGTGGAAGCTGGAATTCATGGGCTGACGAGTGGACCGAGCACCGGTGGCTTTATGTGTTGGTCCCTCGAGAAAGTCACATGCTTCAGTCAGGGTGTATAGACAGTACCTCACCTCAGCTCTCGGATGAGATTTTGTGTGGCGTGTCATGTGGTACTCACAATGTACCAACTTTATGTTTCAATTAAAACAAATCGAATGGTACTTTTAGCACTTCTGTTCAGCTGCAAACAGCCTAAGATTTGTACAGAACTACTGATAATACGAACACACATTACAATTTTGGTGGATGGTGACTAACAATGGAGTCTAGGATGAGCATTTCACCACTCAAAAGTGACGTCTGAATGGGTCAGATTGTTCTCCCATTGAGACTAGAATCCAGTACACTATTCGCTTCGATATCGCTGTAACCACTGAAGTGTAACACCAATTGTTATTTCTCAGACATCGCTGGAGCGTCTGCAGTACTAGAAGCCGACATATATCAGACACGGGTCGAACATTTGAGCTCAATCAATCAACGGGAAAATGCAAAAACTGACTTAAACGAGATTTTTGAAAACGCATGTTCTCAAAATAAAACAGAGAGAAGATTTGTAGCTCAGGTGGGTGATTTTGATTTGGTTATGTCCCATGAGCTGGTTGATATAGTTGTGAAGCTTTTATTGTCCCCCTTCCCCTTCTAGACACAAGATCTTCAGCGAAGGCTGTTTGAATCGTTTCTCCATAAATGGCGATACAATTACATCTCCTGACAACAACAAAAACATATTTTGATAGGACACTAACAAGTGTCATGAGTCTAGTCCTTTCTGTCTTGTGCAGCCTGAATTCTATCAGTCAGTCAAGTTTGAAATGTGGCCACGATGCTGGGTAGCTCGCCACTACAATGCATTGCACTGGGAATTGTTGATATTAGATGGTTGGAGGCAATCGCCAGAAAGCTCTTCCAAGAGCTAGGTTTTGTGCCTGTTGGCACTCACCAGTCAGCAAGGCGTGCATGCAGTCTTGAAGGAACAAAGCACCAGACACATGACACTAGTCACTGCCCAATCTAAGTATCCAGTGAAGTTCTACAGGAGGTCAGTCGCCAGCCTGAATGTCCCAATAGTAGCGTCTCTGCCTGCAGCACGAGGTGACACAGCTTCAAATCTCACAGGAGACGTGAGTCCCTCCAAGGTCAAACATTCGTCTCGATGACTGGTGGTTGCCAACAAGCACGAGACTCATGGACTAGGCAGGAGGGCCTGCCGATTCCCTCCAATCATCTGGTAAAAACATCACATGACGAGAAACCTCAGATTCCAAGTCAATGTGAATTGACAACCAACCACGACAGTGGTTGTCAGGAGATACAATTATATCATCATTCACGGAGAAATGATTCAAACAGCCTTCGCTGAAGATGCTGTATTTAGAAGGGAGGAGGTAGAAATGAAAACTTTGCAATTAAATCAACCAGCTTAGAGAAAACAAATAAATCAAAATTTAGGTTCTTATTTCGTCAAATGAGTGTTGCGCAAATTTAGGTTGTTCTCTGCCGCTGAAAAGAAACAAGCGTACACTCATTATACTGACAGTCTGACTCCTCTTCAGAAAAAAAAAAGCAAAATAAAAAGCAATCACAACAGTCGGCGTAATCTGGGGGAGTAATTTTACTGCTTGAAATATTATCAAAAACAAAACAAACAAAAAACTTATCATTGTGTGTAAACACAACTATTGAAGAATAAATAGAATTAGCTTATAGTCTATTTCACAATTCACAATCTTTTCACAGCCGTTAATTGTTCAGCTTACTTTGACATAGATGATGACGCTAGACGCTAGTTGGTGTTCACGTCGGGCTGTTTGAATCACTGAGCCACCAGAATTTCCATCCATCGAAATGCTGTTCAAACTCTTCTGCATTTCATACTTGTTTTAATCATGCAGTTTCATATAAAAAAAGGTCACTGCATGAACTCGTGAGGGCGTATTTAATTAGCTTCTCATTAAAGACTGGGCAATTCTTGAGAAATGAAGAAAAATTTCAGAGAATTCTTTCTCTTTTCATAAACAACAAAGCTACGTTACATGATATATATTATTACTTTTATTATGATCAGAAGAGTTGTTGAGACAAGACCACTTTTTACTTACCCATGACCTCGTATCGACAGATTAAATACGCCTAATCGATCACAACCCAATGAATCAGCACCACATTGTAAGACAATAGTTGTGGGCCGATAAAAACTGACTACATCGTTGATTACTGCTCGAAAAACACTGAAATACACTGAAGAGAGAAAGAGAGAGAGAGGAAAATTATTGGAAAATTGGAACATATCATTTTTCTCATCAACTATAAGTGTTTTATTTGGAATGAAATAGACTTTATATATATATATATATATATATATATATATATATATATCTTCGTCACTAGATTTTAATCAGACGGCGGCTAAGTTATCAACTGATCAGTCGTCAGCTTGACCCTTCGGTAGATTGTGGATGTTATCAGATGGTTGACTGACTGACTGACTGACTGGTTTCAACATAGAACTTTGCAAAGATGTGCAGGAGTTCGAGTCGCCACACTCCCTTCATGTATCACACAAAGCAAGAGAAGAGAGTAAAGGCAGATTCAATTGTTATGCCTTGGTAGTTCATTCATCGAGAACACAGACGGAGGGATGCATGCCATGAGTCAGCAGAAAGAGATCACTTTTCGTAACTTCACTTTAAAGGGGATTATAAAACTTAAAAACTTCTTCAGCTCACGCAGTACCAGCAGAAACTTCGTTCGTAGTCATATGAATTAAAATCGAACCATTCGAAAGGATTTCGCTTACATCCTTCTCAGAAATGTGTTATATCCTATCACTTTTTCAACTGTGGCCTTAATGCTAATCTTTTTCTTCTTCATTTCTCTAGGGGCGATTTAGCCTATTGCAAGAACGTTTTTGCTCAGGTCAAGTAAAATACTTAGTCGTGTCAACCTGGGAACAAAAAAAGATACCGTGGATACAGGACTCTGCCCAGAACAAGCTGGATATAGAAGTACCTCACAGCGGTCCGTAACAGGCGGTAAGATCGTCATACGGTCGCAACTCTAAAGAGCTGGTTTGAAAGTCTTTGTTTGGCTGGTCTCAAGCGGTAGTGACCTGCACTCAGAGCCAACATAACACAATTGCTCCCTCTCCTACAGATAACCCTACCCTACTAAGACTATTCTAATACTCAGATAAAAACGTCTTAACTTGGACAGGTTTACCGCTACGGGATAGTCGCTGTGTCAATTGTTTGAAATTCTAAAATCCTGAGTGTGCATATTTTGAATGCATTATAAATATCCAAACATTGTTTATTAGTACTTTGGATCAGTTCCTTCGGATCGCTGATTTTACGTTTTGCTGTTTTAGATTAGATAAGTTTATTTCAAGTAATACACAGTGATGACGCAGTATTAACAAATGGATGAAATTGTTTCGAGCAGAAATTATTGCTGCTCATAATCATCTTGTTATTGTTCTTCTTATATTTATGCTCCTCTCCATTTTTCGTCTGTTTGTTTATTTTCCCATAAGTGTAACCGCCATTTAAACTGTGTGATACCTGTTATTTTTCGCCTTTCCCCTCACCCTGCCATATCAACAGAACATTAGATTCACTAATCCATAACATGCTGAAATTTCCGAACTGAATCGACAATACTGTTTGAAACAAACCCACTGTTATTATCATTATTATTATTATTCTCATTTTGTACTTTGAATATTTTTGACTTTATACCGTAGTTGTGGACAAATTCCTCTGGTTAATTTTATTTCTATTTTGAGTGAATCAAATGCAATATTGTGAGAAATGCTGAGGATTCCATTCTGTATTATCAGTACTGATTTTGGAATAAAGTAGATTATTATTCTTACTATTATCATTTCAATTTAGTCACACGTTCTCACAGTTTGTCTTGTGTATATTTTCTCTCTTTCTGTCTCGCCAACTTCCCTTTGTTGTTACCTGCCACTTTGCATATATCCGATATAGGCGTTGGGTCATTTTGATTGCACGTGTGTGATGTTGAATCGATAACCAACGATTCAGTGGTTAGCCTCTCTCTCTCTCTCTCTCACTTCACCTAACTATATTACTCTTGAATACTCTCACCCTGTCCCATACAACCTATTGTGTGATCATAGGCAAGTGAATGAAATGCAATGGCTGACCTTTGTGTTTTCTAGGTTATCTAACTTAACTTACCAGGGTCAGTAATTCTAGGTCTAGCTAAATTCCTCTGTCCCAATAATCTAGTTCACCCCAATCTACTAGTTTTAAGTACGTGTAATTGACCTCACAGTCGTTAATTGCATGATATTTGGTAAATTATATTATTTTTATTAATTACATCTAACAGGTCCTTGAGCTAACAGAATTTATCACTGAGAGTGTTGGTTGGTTGCTTGGTTGATTGGTTTAAATGCCACTCTGACGAATTCCAGCCTCATTGGGGATCCTAGACAAAGACTCTGACGTCGTTGCTTCTTTATACGGAAGTACTACGTAGGCTTTCCCTAGGGGTCTTCATCCACTTCTGAATAAATTCTGGTGGGTAGTGTGTTATCCACTAGTGATATTTGCCTTATTTCTTTGACTTCAAAATTTAAATCTTCTTTCTGTCTTATTAATTGGGCTGTTGGCCGCTCTGATATAGACACTTAGCTGAACTTCTATTCGTTTACCGATTCTGGATGGGATGATTTGAAGTCTAAGTATTTATTAGAGTGTATCCGCCTCCCTACAAAGGCTAACATAAAACCCACCATCTTGGTTTTGTTTTATTTTATGGTCAGTTTAGCATGGTCAAATCACTCGCTTTCTAACTCGAGAGTGAATTGAATTCTGTCAGCCATTCATTGTGTGTGTGAGAAACTGAAGGGGATATGTTCAGATTTCAACACAGTGATGGAATGTTTCACCCTCAAGGCTCACTTTAACCATGGAGCAGGATTGAACGTTGTAACAGACAGCTCGTCTCTAATAGGGCATAGTGTTGATGCTAAATATTTAGATAACGCCTATACCGGAGATATAAACAGTGGCAACAGACACCAAGGGGAAGATGGAGAGAGACAGAAAGAGAGAGAGAGAGAAAATCGGTAAGACAAACTGTGAAGCCGTATGACTAAATTGATATGATTATGAGCAACAATAATTCCTGCTCGAAACCTTGTCATCATCCACTTGATAATGCTGTGTCATCACTGTATGATATTTGAAATAAACCTGTTGGACTTGGAATTACATTTTTTCACCACAGTGCCCAAGTTCTACACTTACATTTCTTTTCTTTTTTGTCTGCTTTGTAGACGATGTGTTCGTATGGTAAAAGAACTTGGTTTACCATTATTAGTGCTCGGTGGTGGCGGTTATACTGTACGTAATGTAGCCCGTTGTTGGGCGTATGAAACAGCTGTCCTTTTGGATCAAGAAGAGGAAATCTCTAATGAATTACCCTATTCACCGTATATTGAATTCTTTTATCCTGATTATACTCTACACCCAGATTTGACAACTAAACTTGACAATGCTAATACACGACAGGTAGGAAGAGAATTATGCGTAGAATTGAGCTCTCTCTGTATGTGTGTGTGTGTGTGTGTGCGTGAGTTTGTCTGTGAATGATGTAAGAACTTTTAAAAGTGGTGTCAGTTTGCAGGGACTGGATTGATTTGACCTCGAACTGACTTCCTTTTGAGAACTATTGAAAAATGAACAGGGAAGAAGTTTATAGCTGTTTCATGTTTATTTGGGACTCCTCGTCAGTATGCATCCCAAAGCCAGGGGTCGAACTCCCCACCCCTAGGGACCTGCAATTTACGTGGAAGCTTCATTCTGTAGCCAGTCAGTCATGCGAATGAGATTCTACTGGCGATTCAGTAGTCCTAACCACCCACGTGCATCAACCGGTGTGAGAATAGACACTCACCAGTGACTAACTAGTTGATGGTCGCGCCATATCGCTATGGCCATTCCGCTGAGGATCGAATTAACAGGCTACTGGATTTCATCACGGTGGCTGAATGGCTAACAAGCTTGTCTTCTGAATCGGTGGTGGGGGCATACTGATAAAGAGTCGCCAGCGAAGGTGGGACAACTGTCCACTACTTCCTGCTAACTTTAAATGCTTTGTAACTGAAGTCAGTCTGTGATCAACCTTGAAAGTTATAATTGTTGGAGCTGTAGCGTTTCGTTTGAAATGATGTTCACAGGTTACTAGTCTCATTAGAAACACCATCGCTCGCTCACTCACTCACTTGGGATGTAGGGTAGGTACATCTAGGCTAGAAGTCCAGAAAACAGGACAACAAAATGTACATCCCGGTTTCCACTACAAGCCACCATCAACCGAAATAAAATTGATTATATTTCAATGGTGGTAATTTCTTGAAGATTTTTAATATGAACTACATATGCGTAAACGCTGATCAAATCGCCACTCTACGCGTGATCATCAAACAAAACATAGAATGGCAGTCGAATATCTACCTTAATTTAATCGCATTTGAAAACACCTTCGACAGTATTGACAGCGAAGTAATTTGGAAACTACTTCAACACTATGGTTGTGCAGTGCCGAAAACCTTTATCAACCTCAAGCAACAGCTGGCTATATGACGATGGCACGTGTCAGGTGATCCACAGTGGGGAACTCAGTGAGGCTTTTGAAATGAAGACAGGAATAAGACGAGGTCACTGTCCTCCATCATCCACGATGACATCCCTAATTGTGGTGGAGTGGATTACGCTGGGACTGTGCACAGGGAGCGAGGAGACAGGAACGCGCTGAGATGACAAGAAGACTCTAGAAGATCTAGACTTCGCTTGTGGGAATGATTTATGTGTTATGTCACACAAACTCGAAGACTTACAGGCAGATGAAAACCAACAAACTGGCAGAAGAAGCAGCTAGCAGAAACAGGATTTCAAGTGAACATTGAGGAGACGCAGGCGAAGAAGATAACTAACCACCACCAATCACTATGAACGGGAGGAATTTGAAAGGAGGTCACTTTCTTCACTCATCTACTCAGTAGCGTTCCAACTACAGTCAGGAGGCACATATCCCGGTGTCAAAGTCAGCTAGGATCGAAAAAGTAGGTCAAATTTCCATCACTCGGAAATGAATATGGAAATCTTTTCCACTCCCGCCTCAGTATAAACAACAACAACAACAAAGTTCGGGTTTACAATACCAATGTCGATTTAGTTTGTGCTTCTGTACGGGTGGGAAACTTGGCGTGTGCGTCACGAGAAGCATTTCCAACAGCTGTCCACTTCGCTGCCAGACTCCATATTGAGGATCGGATGGCCAGTGGAAAGAATTAGCAACGACTAACTCTGGAAATGAATCAATCAAGATCATAGTGCTCAACAGACATTGCGTAGGAAATGGAGATAGATCGATGGGACACGCGCTGACGGCACCGTTGAGTGACATCTCTTTCCTTCCTCATCATTGCTCGAATAGTACACGAATGGGAAAGAATGATCGGGGCGTTCGAGAGTGACATGTAGGAGACATTGATTGGAAGAGATGAGAGACTTTGGGCAACCGCAGGGGCAGCTAAAGACTGCTGCACAAAATAGTACAAGGTAGTCACAGGGTTTTGAGTCATATGTTTCACTTGCATTTGAAGGGAAGAATAACATTATTATAATATAGTTACGAAAAGAGATCTCTCTGCTGACTCATGCGTCCTTTATTACATCAAAATGGGATGTTTTCATACCTTGACGAGATATTAATAAAAGTATCCATTTAAGAAGGTAACTGAATTTTCGATAACGTAAATTGTTGATCGCGGTAAACTTGAAATTCCTAAACTTCACGAGAACTGATGCGCCACCGCCGCCACCCGCGACACATTTTTTTTCTATTTCACCGATATTGTTGTCATCAAACTTCAACGCCTAGGTGTTTTTTTAAAATTTTTCCGTTATTACTCACTGCCTTCGTGAAGAAATAAATTAAGCACGATAAAAGATCTAGTTACTATTGATCGATCAAGATGATGATCAACCAATAGTCCTTGCTAGATCAAAGTGATTTGAACACTGAATGGCCGTTTCGTTCGTTTGCGACTGAGCTCATCAGTGGTGTGTACCTGGTTCGACTGAACTCAGAGAGCTGAGTAACAATTTAAAGCAGCCGATTTCTGGCTAACTACTTGAGTGAAATGCGTAAATTGCAAAGTGTGAAGTTGATAATCAAAAAGGAAACGAATAATTAAGAGACTAACATGCAACAACAACAACAACAACTTACTGTCGTCATCGATACCTTCTTTTAAAGGTATATTCACTGAATAGTATTTCCCAGCTTTTGCACCAACTTCATACATGTCACCTGTGGAGGAATAAAAAAGAACACAACAAAAGTGATGAGTTGTCACAATCATAGTTAGATTGGATGGAGGATTTCATCATCAGCTGACAGCAGTTAGAGAACCACTGGAAAACCTGGGAGTACTGGGCAGCTGTTTTGTCTTAGTTTTGGACTCTACAGCAGTAGGCATCCACTGGGGTTCGAACCCAGGACTTTCTGGTTACAAGGCGAGCTAGTAGACCATTGAGCCACTGGGACCCAATCCAATGACCCATGAATTCTAACTTCTGCCAATTCACGACATACCGCAACTAATTCGCAATGACTAGTTCGATGAGTTACTGCCTCATCACGGCTTCCCACTAGAACCCTAGGTCACTGTCTGAATAGGGTCAGTCGCTAGTCAGCATCAGATTAATTTTCAATGTCAGCTTATGATGAAATCCTCCATTCAATGAAACTGAATCCCTACAAAACCAATACTTTACAATCATGGTTGTTGGTATTAGCCAATGTATGTAGGGAGATGAACAAACGTATTAGAGTTACCTAAGAAAGTGATTAATTTAATGACTGAGTTGTGGTCAAGATGAGCATAGAAACCAAGAAAAATATGAAATTACGGAAGAGTTCTAAAGAAATATAAGAGTTAGAAGAACAATCACGCAAAATTCAAGTCGGTAGGAATCGACAAGTTTGTTACCATGGTAGTAGGAGTGGTTACATAATTTTCCGTTGTATGCATTACTCTGATTTCTCCGAATGAATGGCTAAGGGTTCAGAAGTGCAAAGGAGCGTACTGCCTTTGCAGGTTGTTCTTCACTTTGTAGATTACTTTGAAGGAGGCGTATGTTGAGGTAGAACGACCAGTGTTGACAAGTTCTCAGATTATAGCACTCTTATAGAGACAGTACAACCTTTCTACAACCATGCACAATAGTGTTCTTGATAACTCTCTTTAGACACAGGATACGCGTCGAACGACCAATATACCTAACTCCACATCAACAGGTGAACTAATATACACACATAGAAGTGATCAGGTGCGAGATCTTGTCCTTAAGGCTTCTGTAGATCAGTGGACGACTGGTGAACGAAAAATGTTCTTCACACATAGCCCTAGTTGCGATTTGATGACTCATCATATTTTTTTGACATATTTTAATGATATAAACAGTAACCCTAACTAATTTCTATTCTTTTCTGACAAAAATAATGTACACGTACAAATCTATTTGCATGTGTATATATGATTGCGATTGTACAGGTAAGTGAATGAATTCACCTCTGAAAAGAAACGCTTAATTGAACTACGCGTCTTGGTTTCATTAAATTCCTTTACACACCTTACGTTCCAAGTGGAACGTAGGGTTTCGCAATTTTTAATTTTCAGTAAGCGCATAGTGTTGATTTTTTTACGGTATGGGGATACTACATTCACGCCCAATCTTTCCGTCCTTCCCCGGGGCTTACTATAAACTGAGTAAACCGGATGGCATGTCCAAGTGCATGTATGTATGTTAAGCATGCGATTGGTCTCTGTCAAAAGTAAGATGACAGAAGGACTGGTCTGACCCAATTCCTAGCCTGAGGATAGGATAGGAAATGAAATGGTTGAGTGTTCACCTCTTCACTTATTTGTGAAGCTGCATCATTCCAACCGAATACAGAAGCATTTGCCGACTTATGTCATCTCTAGCAGAGAAGTGATATCCGTTGACTATCGACCAAAGAAACGTGTATACTGCACAGCAGTTCGCTTTGTCCAACTTTACGGCTGTGAAAAATAACCACTGACAGTGGAAGGTACGAAAATGTAAGCTTCCTTTGACTACAGGTGCATACAGTTCTATCTCCAATGTTCAGTACTATAATATGTTAAGTGGTATCAAGGTTAATCGTAGTGTTAGATTAGGAATGGGAGGTGAATAGTTGAGGTTGTTAAGCCGCATAGATTGAGACATTAAGGACAGTCGATACACATGCAAAGCCACACCCAACCTTATCAGTAAATTTTAGGTGACATTAGATCAGGCTGGAAGAGAGTTACACGTGGTTAAATCAATATTTGGCAACAATCCATTAGGTCTTTGACTGTTGGTTTAAGCCACTACCTGACTGGGATCCTCGAGACACTGACTCTTAAATGTTGATGGTACAGCATAAAACCGTTGTCATCAGTGGAGCAGATCCCATCACACTCCATAAAATTATCTCTGTCATGCTCAACCTATCGAACATCCAACGCCCCCTCAATGAGATATAGACACAGGTCCTCTGCCCCTAACTGAGGTTACTAAGGCTGTCACTAATCTGAAACAAGGCAAAGCAGCAGGACCTGATGGAACGACTCCAGAAGCATTTATGTACGGTGGAGACAGTTAACTGTCTGAGTTAACTAAGGTACTAGACAGTGTCTGGGAATCAAAGGAAGTCCCGTCGGGCTGGTGTAAGTCATTGATTATCCCGATAGATACACAAGAAGGGAGACAAGTCTTCCTGTGATAATCATAGGGGGATTAGATTGACCAATATATGATATCTAAATTTCTAGGTTCAATAATAATGCGTAGACCACAGGTCCACAGGAGGAACAAACACGAGAGAACCAGGAAGGCTTTAGACCAGCAAGAGGATGTATTCATCATATCTTCACCCTTCCACAGATTCTGGAACGGAACATAGGCAAGCTTACCGGCATCCAACAATCGTCATATTTTTTTGCTTGACCTAAAGGCGACATTCGATTCTGTCGAACAAGAGGTACTATGGCGATGTTTGGCCGTGAAGGGAGTTCCGAGGAAATACATTTCACTGGTTAAGGCACTCAACTCTACTTGTACTCGCACTCGTTCAGCCAGCCGGGTGAGAGCTTACGGAGAGTTGTCATCTGACAACTGTCATGACAACCAGTAGTGTCCATTAGACATGACCGCTGTCCACATTTCTATTCAATTTCATCATAAATGTACTAATGGACTTAACCCTAAGTGACTTCAGCGACTCAGGGATTGACTTGTTACCAGGCAGAGAACTATACTGTTCTGCGATATTACTATTCTTTTTGCCTCATATCTATGTTTACTGTCTCTAATTTGCATTTCTTACTTTATTCTCTTGCTTTGTGCGCTAAGTGAAGTGTGGCGACTCGAACTGCTGCACATCAGTGCAAAGTTCTATGTTGAAACCAGTCAGTCAGTCAGTCACATTTATCTCTCCTACCATACATTTTCATTTAATTTGTTTCTTTTTGTCTACATTTGTGTAGCAACTTTAACACTGGTGTACTTGTGTGCACACTACTACGTTGAAACCTTGTCTTGGTCTGAAACTTCGCCCAATTAAAACTATTCTAATTTTGTATTTATATAGCGCTCTGTAAATTTAGCATGCGACTTGGTTTCCATTTTCTGAGCAAATTATCGCACGTAATCCACCACATTGCCAGCTACATGCACATATGTACACAATACACATAGCAACGAATAATACAGTCTGACTATCCAAGAAACGATACATGGGACCTACCCAACAGATGACTGCTATCTTGAAGTAGTGGGCGGTAGGGCTTTCATGCGGCAGTGAGTGCTGGAACAATGCCAGAAATTTCATTTCGATTGTGATTAGACTAAAGCCAGTTACTATCTTAGTGTAAGTCATTCACACTATGTTTGAAGTCGGAGGGAGAGAAAGAGACAAGCCGTACGGCTAGCTAATATGGGGGTGTAACAGCATTGTGGTGTTCCCATCAGACGAGCAGTGACAACATTTCATTACGAAGATAGGGAGTGAAAAAAATCGACACCGAAATTTTCACATCTAGATATCTATCATGCAGTAGTACGGTGTTAATAGAGGAACACAACTCCAAAGACCTCATCATCAAAACAAGCTCTGCGGTAACGTAACTACACATACTCTATTTATTTCAGGAATTTCAAGAAGACATGAAATTGGACGATGTAACGAACCGGCGAATAATAACTGCCTAAATACGCACACAGACACACACACGTATCTCAGGTTTTCACAACCCAGACATATATACAATAAAAGTAAAAAATAAGGGGAGAATATCAATATTACCTGTTCCAGGGAAAAACATATTTCCATAACGATGAAATGAAACTGTCATTACACGATCAGTTAAATAGAAAGCCTCTTGTACACCATCACCATGATGAACATCAATATCAATGTATAATACACGTGGATTATACTTTAATAATTCTAATATTGCTATGACAATATCATTAACATAACAAAATCCTGATGCCTAGACACAAACAGATAGATAGATAGATAAATAAATAAATCGGGAAATTACCTCGAACTTTTTAGCATGATGAAGTCCACCTGACCAATTGACTGCGATATCTGTTACCTAGATTTTTTAAAGATAATACCATCTTTTATGTATACACTTACTCCATTATTCAAATACTTAGCACCTTGTAGTGACGCTCCGGTATAAATTGAACAAAATCGATAAATTCCATCGAAAATTGGACTGAAAAGAACATAAAGAAATAAAAAGAAATAATTTATTCAAGAGTTGGTTTGCAGGAATTTTATTTGACTGGTTACAGGATTTTATTATGAGCCGGTACTGTTGAAGAGTCTAAAACCAAAACGAAACAGCTGTCCTGTACTCCCAGGTTTTCCAACGGTTATTTGACCAACGTCAGCTAATAGTGAAATCCTGTAACCAAATAATTTGACAGAGAACAAAAAGAATGACTTCTATTTTTCCCGACCGATAGCTGCTACCTTGACGTGGTGGTGGCCGGGCTTGCATATCGCAATGACCCAACAAGCTACACTGGTTGGAAATATTGTTCCTACAGGTCCTATCATGCCAGGAAGGTTGTTAAGGTAGCGATTAGACTAAAAGCAATTACGGGCATAGTGTAAGAAATGTCTTTTACACTATGCTGGGGGTCTGAGGGCGAAGTCGTAATGCTGGGGAACACGGGTGTAACAGCCATAATAAGGTGTCACTCTCAGATGACCAGGATGCCAACCAGCTATGCTATCTCTCCACTTTGACGAGAGGGAGTTAGAAAAGGTCAATCCCAAAAATTGTACATCCCGACTTACCCTACGTTGGTCCGTAACCGGCGGTAAGTTTACTAATACGGAACCAATCCAAGGAACCGATTCATACAGACCGTGTGTGACCATCCTCAAGCAGTTCTTCCTTGGATTCTGCGATCACGCAATACTAACCCTCTTTTTGTTTCAGTTACTCGAGGAATCAATCAACTTCCACGGTGTGGGCAGCCGGGAAGTAACAACCGCCCACACACTTCCAAAAGCACACGAAGCATTCCTGAGCATCATTCTCCTTTACTCACATCACCTTCATCATCTTACTCCCCTACTACAGTCAGTACTATTCTTCAGGCCAGTAAGTCATCTTCACTTCACTATGTGACCACAAACAACGATGAGAGCCATAGAAACACCCCAGATAACCTCTTAAAGCGACGTCACCAACTCCATATAGGAGCATTTAACGTCAGGATTCTCTGCCAAGTCGGACAACAAGTATCACTAGCAAACACTCTGGCATCTCGACCCATGGATGTATGTTGTGTTTCGGATACACACATACAACACCAGAGTGTGGTCATTCACTTAACCTAACCCGGCCAACAAGACGAATCTGCAAAATTCACTTTAAGGATGTCAGGTGCCCCCTAATCTAGTTTGCGAGGACTCGCAGGTGTAGGAATAGCACTGAGTGTTAGGGCGGAAAAATCAATTCTTGACTAGATCCCAGTAGATAGTCGTATGTGTGCGGTCCGTATGAAAGCTTCCGTTAGAAGAAGGAAGCACAGCGTTACCCGTCGTTGTCTTTTCGTAGTCTCCGCTTACGCCCCAACAGACTGCAGTTCGGATGAACTAAAGGATGACTTCTACCTGAAACTGTCTAATTTGCTGCAAAAAGCAAAACGTTCAGATATAGTTGTTTTAGCAGGAGACTTCAATGCTAAAGTAGGGAGGTTGTGCCAGACTGAGAAGTATGTAGGTGGTACGTATGGAGTTCCCTGCCGACGAACCGACAACGGTGATCGTCTTCTTCAGTTTCGCTCAGATAATCATCTGTTCCTAGTCAGCACTAACTTCAGGCACAAAGAGAGACATTGTGTAACCTGGCGACCTCCATCACCAAATCAACGCTGGACTCAGATAGACCACATCGCCATAGGGTATCGTTGGCGAGGGTCAGTAGAAGACTGCCGCTTCTTCTGGAACACGTGTGTAGACTCCGACCACGCTCTGGTTCGCGCACGTTTATGTTTACGTCCAAACGGACATAAGAAATTGGCGGCATCGAAACAGTTACATCCTCAACTAGATCGAGACACTGAGTCCCTATTTAAGGAAGAAATAGCGAAACGAGTGTCTGAGGTCGACAGTAGGACTTCCCCTGAGGTAGCCTGGCACAACACACAGTTAGCTGTAGACACAGCTGTAAAAGCTGTTAATAAGCTAAAACCAAAAGTTAGTAAGAGACATTGGATCTATACCGCCTCATCCGAACAGATTGATGCAAGAAAACTGGTTCAGGAGACCTCCGATTATGATGACGAGAGAAAGCTGCTCAAACGCTACTCGCAACGACCGTGAACAGTGGTGGGCCACAAAAGCGAAGGAGATGGAAAAGGCATCAGCGATTGGTAACACCAGACAACTATTTAGACTTATCGGGGAAACAGGTGGTAAAAGGCAAATGATAAATGAAACAATCTCTGAGAAAAATGGCACCATAATTAGCTCCCTGGATAGACGACTAGGACGTTGGAAAGAACACTTTGAGGAGCAGTTAATTTGGCCTACAGCCACGCCCAACTTACCCAACATCCAACACCCCCTCAATGAGATATAGACACAGGTCCTCTGCCCCTAACTGAGGTTACTAAGGCTGTCACTAATCTGAAACAAGGCAAAGCAGCAGGACCTGATGGAACGACTCCAGAAGCATTTATGTACGGTGGAGACAGTTAACTGTCTGAGTTAACTAAGGTACTAGACAGTGTCTGGGAATCAAAGGAAGTCCCGTCGGGCTGGTGTAAGTCATTGATTATCCCGATAGATACACAAGAAGGGAGACAAGTCTTCCTGTGATAATCATAGGGGGATTAGATTGACCAATATATGATATCTAAATTTCTAGGTTCAATAATAATGCGTAGACCACAGGTCCACAGGAGGAACAAACACGAGAGAACCAGGAAGGCTTTAGACCAGCAAGAGGATGTATTCATCATATCTTCACCCTTCCACAGATTCTGGAACGGAACATAGGCAAGCTTACCGGCATCCAACAATCGTCATATTTTTTTGCTTGACCTAAAGGCGACATTCTATTCTGTTGAACAAGAGGTACTATGGCGATGTTTGGCCGTGAAGGGAGTTCCGAGGAAATACATTTCACTGGTTAAGGCACTCAACTCTACTTGTACTCGCACTCGTTCAGCCAGCCGGGTGAGAGCTTACGGAGAGTTGTCATCTGACAACTGTCATGACAACCAGTAGTGTCCATTAGACATGACCGCTGTCCACATTTCTATTCAATTTCATCATAAATGTACTAATGGACTTAACCCTAAGTGACTTCAGCGACTCAGGGATTGACTTGTTACAAGGGAATATGCAGATGATATAGTCCTCCTAGGTGAATACGCTGACAAATTGCAGTCTTCTGAGTTACAATCTGAGAATGTTTGGCATGCGATTCGCTCCCATCAAATGTAAGATGATGAGGCTACAGGACTGGACTACACTGACTCATAGCTTAGAAGTCGTAGAGCGTGTTAATCACTTCACTTATTTGGGAAGTTGCATCAGCCAGTCCCAACGGGTTGATCGCTGACGAAATCTCAGAACGGATACAGAGGGATAGTTTCTTATATGCCAGTTTACGCCGTCTCTGGCGTAGACGTGATATCCGGCTGGCTATCAACCAAACAACGTGTGTACTGCTCAGCAGTCCACTCCGTCCTCCTTTAAGGCTGTGAGACCTGGTCATTGACGGTGGAGGACATGAAAAGGCTGGTTAGCTGTCTTTGATCATAGGTGCATGCCTTCTATCTCCCGTGTGAAGCGGTATAATAGGGTGAGCAATATTGAGGTTAGGCATCTGTCGAGTGCTAGGGAGGTGGGAGGGGAAATCAATAGAGGAGGCTGTGAAGTCACTTCGACTGAGATGGTTAGGGCATGTGTTACGCATACCTATCCATCGCCTTCCTCAATCCACGACCAATGTTGGCTGACATAGGATCAGGTTGGAAAAGATCCAGTGGTGGTCAAACCAAAACATGGCTTCATCAGTCAATGAAATCAACAACAGTTAGTTTAAGTCACGTAGGAAGATGTAGACTTCCTGGTTGGGGTCCTCGGGACGGTAAATACCAATGGCCGGAGACAACTGGTGACATGGCTCAAAATCGCTCTCAATGGCTGGTGCAGATGCATCCACTCCTTGTGACTTATAATGTCCAATAAAACTATATCGGTCTTCCGTATTACAACTATTCTGTTTGCCTCATATCTCTGTTTACTGTCTCCAGTTTGCATTTACTTTCACTTTCTTCTCTTGCTTTGTGCGCTGAGTGAAGTGTTGTGACTTGAAGTGCTGCTGCACATCGGTGCGAAGTTCTATGTTGAAACCAGTCAGTCAGACTGTTATTTGATCAATGATCACTGAAGCAGCGGAATCCAGGATGCGCATTCCATCCTATTTCTGGGACTAGTCGGCTGCACTTACTTACAATCCTCCAGTGAGGGTGATTGAGGTTCCATCGAGACTCTAATCCATCGTTTCGAACACTCATCACTCAGTGAGAATGCAGGTAAGTCCAGATGACGAGTCCCAAAAGTACGACGGAATGAAAATCGTGGATTCCCTCGCTAAGCACCATCCACCAAGTGACAGCAATGCTAATCCTTAGACATCATCGAGGCGTCCATACTAGGAACCGACATGTCGACAAAGACCAAACATTTCGCTTGAACACAACCAATCAACAGGAAATACAAAATTAAATTAAACAACAGAAAAAACTGACTACTTACCAATCTTCACCTATATTATAAGTTAGTAATTTCTCTTTAGGAAATGTATGAACATTCGTCGGCGTAACATCACGTAAAAATTCTACGTATTCTTGTGAATGAAATGATATCATATCTTTCATACTAGCACGGTATGGTTTATATACCTTTAATTATTATTATTATTATTATTAATTTTATTATAAAGCAACATTTCCGCCTACTTTCATACTATCTGTAAGATTATAATTCACTATAAGTGTATGCGCAAGAGTAAGTCGATGCGGTTTCATTGGATGATTTTGTCCTAGAGACAAAAACAAAATATTGTTACACACAGGAGAACTCAAAGCTAACCATAATGAAAGTTCCCACAATCCGGATCATAAAAGTATACAACGCGTCTATCTTTACCCATACCGTTTGAGGGTATGAATTGAAGTTTCAATAAGCTCTTCGAAAGCTTTGCAATTTATCTGAAATAAAAAAAATTTTAAATGACAAAAATGTAAATACACATATATTTACTACCAACCAGAAGACATTCCAGGAATAAAAGTTAAGCCTTTCCAGCAGATTCATCAAACATAAGTCACACAGAGTCGCAATATGCAGTGGCTCATTGGCTTTCAGCTGATGCATAGGCAAAACTGACTGAAAAACACGACTCAACTATCAGCTAGTTCTCATTCTAATATAACCTTCTAGCCTTGCAACACATAAACTGTAGTTAGCAGGGATTCGGCCTAGTAACGTACCGCAACTGCCGCTAAATACTGCACTGATAACAACTACAAAAATGAAGCACTTCACCGGAATTTCGTATGTGGTTCTTTAAGATGCAGCCCACATCCGCAGTGAGCCTTTCCAGAGTTCTGGTCCGATCTGCCTGTTATCCAATTAGCATGTGTGCGAAAACGCTGTAGGCTGTAAGTATTAATGTAATATTTGGTGTCAGGATAACCGTGTTAGATACCATACTGGTGGCTAGCTTGCTGGAAGCAACTGATTAAGGATATGAAATGCAACAGATGAGATAACATTTCAAAAAGTAACGAGCAGGCGGTGAAGATACAGACTAATGTGAAGATGGTAAAAAATAGGCATTACAGCTCATTTATGAGAACGGGTAAAATGATAATGAAATGAGTGTTCAGATGTATAGATCATGAATCGATAAGTTCGCTAAGTTGTGACAACATGTGGCTAAGACATCTTTTCCAGCGAAATGCAGTTCACAATGCTGATAAAATTCTTACTAACGAACAATTCGGAAAAGGACCATTTATGCAGGGAACACTTAGGTAATATTGCCATATCTGATAAACAGCGATAACCTAAACATTCACAAAGTTTCGTAAGAAAAACAAGTTACTATTTTGAAATGTGTGCTGGACAGACTGACAGTGGTTTCCAGGTTATACCTGAATATCAAAAGTGTGGATACTACCAAGATGATAAAGACTACCAAGTGCCTGATAGATCCACGAAAACAAAGAAATACCTAGAGCCGAGACACAATAAAACTGGAAAAACAACTTGGTATATCGAAAAGTAGTAGAACACTCGCATTAGACAGTGAAACGGCAAATGTCCTATTCGCTCAAAATCACAGCACACTGTTTTTCGGATGTCAACAATGGAGGAGGGTTGACCATTCGAGAGAGCAAATAGCTTCAGTCCCCTTATACAAAAGCAAATAAATTTCCATTATTCCCAAAAGGTTCATTACCACCAACTTCAGGAGCGAGATGAGGACTATGATGTTGATTAATTAAACATAATTCTAATGTCCATTAGTACGATAACAACTGCATGAACACCAAAGCAGTTCCACTTACCCATTTCTTAGACATGGGTAGTACGTGAGTTTCGCAAGCAGACAGCCACAAGCAAAATACGAATGATATATGACGGATCTTACCACAGAGTGAACAAAGTTCAAAGGGTGTAGCGCAAAACTTAGAACAACGCAAAAACCACAAGGTCAGGTTTCAGTTTTGTTGGTTGAGAATAGAAGGCTTGGAGCCTATGTTAATCCCTTTCTAGTAAATTTCCGTGCTTGTCCAAACCCTTCTTGAATGAGTCAATTGAGGTTGCTGACACCCCTTCTTCCGGAAGTCGGTTCCAGGAATTTTTGACATGGTGTGAGAACCAATACTCCACACCAACATATTTTTTCCCTGGTTTTTGGACTCTCCTGTCATGTCCTCTAAGGTATTGCTGCCATCTGGTGGAAACAGGGAAAAAGCAGCATAGATCAGCTCCGTAGTGATTATTTAAAATATATTAAACACTGTAATGAGACCTCCCCCACTGACTACGGTATGAAAGGGAGAAGAGATTTAAACTGTTTGGTCTCTCCTCGTGTAATAAACTAGTCATACCAAGAATCATACGTGTTGCCTTTCTCTAAACCCTTTCTAGTATATGTGAGTCCCCTCTAAGACAAGGACTGGCTGGCTGCCTGGATAAAGTTTTCCAGTCTCGACCTCACCAGAGATGTATACGAGGAGGTGGACACAGCTCTAGTGGTTACAGTAAAGGCCCTACGAATCGCCTACAAAAATCTGAAACTGCGTGCTACCACAGCACGACAACGTACTGGAGTTTTTTAAATCATGACACCTAAATCCAAACGGGCCTGAACTGTTGGGAGTACGATTATCTCCACTTCGTAGGAGCTGAAGCTTGCTTGTCTAGTGAGCATGGTTGCACATTTCGCTACGTTGATCTGTAGCATCCATTGTTTGGACCACTCCAACAACTTGTTGAGGTCTCCTTTCAATGAGAGTGTGCAAAAGTCTCCTTTCAGCTCCTGTAGCACCCCTATATTAAGCCTAACTGCACGCTTACAAAAACTAATTCGTGTACCCGTGTTATACGCTGACGGAAACTAGTCTTACTTATGCTTGTTGAATATTCACCACTGTATTATTGAATATTAGTTTTCGCTTGATTTATGTATAATTCACGCGGTTACGTACTTTTCGTTCACCTCGCGCCTTTTAGCAGTCAGTCTCGTTGACAGTACATCTTTTCAATTTTTCAGTTGTGCTTCTTAATAAACGTTGTTCGTCATTGACCGTGTTCAGCGTTAGCACACATTAGAGCGTGAAAACGTGGATGTACTGTGGCACAGTAATCGGAATCATCTTCAGTATGCCATGCTCACTCCTAAATTTCAAATCATCTGCATATGTGACCATTGGGGAATCGAAGACCACGGATATCTCTTCGGTATACATAATAAATAAGAGGGGCTCGAGGGCAGTGCCTTGTCGTACTCCACTACGAACTGCTATCTAGGATGAGGATAGTTTTAAGTTGATCCTGAATCTCTATCTGTCTCCTATTTGTGAGGAATTCCCTAATCCAGTCAAGTAAACTGCCTCTAATTCCAAGGCCTTTCAATTTTGTGGGCAGTTTTTGTGGGTTAGTTGATCGAAGGCTTTGCTGAAGTCTATGAAGACGACGTCGACGGGTTTTCCGTTTTCACATGACCTGACCCAGCCAGCTTCCTCCTGCTCCTTAAGGAGGTTTGACAACCACTGAGATGTTTCTTCGGCAGCTGTACTATGCTCTAGACCAAAAGCTCTTATTTTTCAGATATCCTATGGCAGCCTATTTGATGATTCTTTCCAGTATCTTGACTAAGGTGCTGGTGAGACTAACAAGCCTGTATCTTGAAGAGCTATGTCTTGATCCTCCTCTGTGGATGAGAGTTACTATGACGGCCTTCCAGTTACGCAGCAACACTCCATTTAGGTGAGATAGCTTGAAGATCATAGTCAGTCGGCCGACTATGTGATCTGATAGTTCTTTGACAAGCCTTGGATGAAAATTATCGAGAAACATTGATTTCACATCATCTAGTCTCTTTGGGTAGCTGTGCACGACGTCTTGGTCGACATCATCAGAGTGCATCCTGTGTTCGTCTGATGCGGCCAGAGCTAACGGGGAATGACGATCCCTGTGCAAAGACTTTGGGGAAGTAGTCGGCCATTGCTTCTGCTCTTGCCTGATCCTCTTCGATTGTACTGTTTTCGGTAGTCAGGTTTGGGACCCCATCAGATGTATAATTACTGAGTTTCATGTACAAGGGAATTTCAGTAGGTTATGCGGTTGCTTTTTAAGCCAGATGCATTTCGAACTACATCATTGATTATCGGATTTCCGCAATAGCTTCGTTCTTATCGACGTCGTCCAACTTTCTGCTCTCAGAGTTCTCAAGTGTAATAAATGGCTTCCGGAATTTATGTTTACGCCTGAGTAATTTACGAATCTCTCGGTTTATCCAAGGTGGCTGTATTTGCGACCCTCCGGGACAGTCCAATAGACGGAACGTTCGGTCAGCTGAGCGTAGGGTTGCCTAAACTGGTTGCATGCAGCTTCTACTTGGGACGGTAGCATTTGCGTCAGCATTCAAAACAGTTGGACGAGCTAGGGTTTTGGCCCATGACACTGCTGCTGTGAAATCGAAAGTGAGTGTAGCATGACCACTTCTTTCTAAGGGAAGAAGGTGTTGCATGAGGTCCTATGTTCCTCTAGGAATTAAAGGAAACAACAATAGTATAATAATGAACTATAATTCCATTGATCTTACTTAACAAATCGACATTATTTAAAAAAAACAATATTGTTACTGACTACTGTTCGAGAATATTCTATGTATATGAACATATATAATTGTAGAGCCAGAAGAGGAACATATTGAATTAAATTATAGGAAGTTGTGTTGTTATAACTAAATAGTCATATATATTTTTTTGCGCTCATTGGCTATTTATCACTGATTTATAAAGGTTATATATATGTATAGCAATGGATGGCGGCACACACGGCTTATGGAGAGTCTGAGCACTTCAAGGTCACTTACGCATATTGTGATTGGTAGATTTTCCTTTGCGTAAACGCTGTGGATAATACGCAGCAGATGTTACTGAGGCGGGCTTTGAAATGATAATAATAAAAATCGCATAAACATTACATTTTTCAGCTTAATGGAACAAGCTAACATATGTATAAATTTACAGATGTGATACGCATTGGATCCATTGACAAAAAGAATATTATTCTGTAACTTATTCAAAGAGGTATGAAGTTTGAAGATTTTGTCTTTTCTCAGCTGGTTGTGACGGACGGATAGGAGAGGCAGTTGCGTAATATTTGCATTTTGCAGAAGACAAACTGTGAAAGATAAATCGGAAGTTCTATAATTCTTCAAATGTGTCATGGAATATATGTACTAATCTTACCGATTCCACTATTGTTCCCTCCCTTGTTCACATATTCATTGTGGCTAAGATAAGGAATTGTTCACTTGAGGTAAGATTAATTCACCTGATATGTATGCATCCTTAGATATTTCTCAACGCGGTTGGAGGTGGTCGAAGGAATACAATCTCAATCTTTGCATGGAAGGATCACGACCAGTTTCTTCCGAAGGATCGGGTGGTGCTGAAAGCTATAAAGATAGGTCATGTCACTATCATCTGAAGGAAACTGATCCATATACTGTGGATCGTACTAAACTCGAAAGAATAGAGGGATGCCATTCTAAGCAACTCTCAAATTCCTAATGGATCAGGCATATATGTGCGTGCCGACTTAAGCCTATCAGAACATGTCAAAAGACAGTCTGAGGCCCTTGAATAAAGGTAACGACGTCGAAACGGCGAAAAGAACCTTAAGATTAAGGGCTTTTGGGTTGTCAAAGTTTGCGGTTTAATGATCCCGAAACCTCTGTGGGTAAGCTGCGGAAGCACCAAACTGGATTGACGGTTTGCTACGCGAACGCCCGCAGCCTGTTGAACAAACGAACTGAGTTGGGTAATACAACAGACTCCGGAAATCCGGATTTAATTATCCTCACGGAGATATGGCTCACACCCCATGTCACTGACAACGAAGTTAACCTGCCAAACTTCGAAGTGCATAGGGTGGATCGACTAAACCGCAGAGGAAGTGGCGTAGTCACTGCCTCACGAAAGTGAGTCGTGCGAACTTCTACGCTGCAGACATAAATGCATAGGCCAAGACATTGACCTCATTGCTGTATACCGCAGTCCTGACTGCTTTGCAGATGACTTCCTAATAACGGAGCTAGACTCCTGGACTTCGAGATGTCGAAGTCCCGTAGTCGGCGACTTCGACGCCCCAAAGTTGACTTGACGAGCTTTACAACTCCATCTTCAGTCAACTACTTTGATCATAAACTGCTGGAATCTATTATACGCTAGCCCTGGTCCAACATGTTATTAAGCCCACGCGTTGTGACTCACAGCACTCCTCCTCAACTCTAGTCTTCTCCCATGGTGAGGATGTGGATCTCATACAACAACTTCCTCCTCTAAAAAGAAGTGATCACGCCAGGTACACTTTCAAGCTCACAGCAACAGCAGCAAGGGCAAAAACCCCAGCTCGACCTAACGTTTGGAAAGCTGCTACAAATGCGATCGTCTCAGCAGCCAACTCAGGGAACTGGTACATCAACCCAGAGTCCTAAGTAGAAGCCTCATGGAACCAATTTAAACAAATTTATGCCCAAGTAACTGAACATTTCACCCCTTGGTTTGTCCCAAAGGGTCGGAAACATCACCCTTTGAATAAACCGAGTGAATCGTAAGTTACTCAGAAATAAACACTAATGTTGGAGCCTGTTTGCCACACTTGGGACTCCTGAGATCAGAAAATTTTACAACACCGTTAGGAACAAAGCTATTGCAGAAATCCGCCAATCAAGGATGAGGTTCGAAGCACATCTTGCTCAAAATGCAAAGGTTCAACCTAAGAAAATTTCCTCGTAGATGAACTTCGGGAATGAAACATCCAATTGTGTCCCAAACCTGACTATTGATAGTGACGCAATCGAAGAAGATCAAGAAAAGGCAGAAGCAATGGCAGACTACTTCTCCCAAGTCTTCACACAGCAGTCATCACTCCCTATATGATAAGCTCTGGCTGCATCAGAAGAATGCGGGATAGATTC